TAATTAAAAAAAAAAAAAAAGAATTATAAACCAAACTTTCGACTCAATTCTATTCTCATATTGGAGTAAATATTAACATATTCTTAGATGCCTTAAAGACATATATTTAAAATATTTATTTAAAATTCTAAGACTCTCAGGACTCCTGATGTACCAAATAAATATCACAAGCCCAGAGGTTAGAAGAACTAAAATCAATCATTAAATATTTCCATTATTCTGAAGTTATAAGTAATATTGATTGTGCTCTAACACTGATTTTAGTGTGTTTTATGCAGAGTGGTTTTAAATACCACAATCTTAAAATTCAAAAACTATGATTCTTTATACCATGATCAAAGTTATATGAAAATAACCAAATATGATATGCATAACTTGCTATTAATTGTTATCTATCATGGTTTTCTTACAGATTTCCTTGCAACCAAATTCACTAACTATAAACTAGCTAATCAATATTTTAAATGATTTTAGATTTGCTGACTTAGATCTATTACTATCAAAGGTATATTAAGTTATACTTAACTAAAATTATAAGTAATGTAAAAATCTGAAATAGCATGAATTACTCTTCCCAGTTCTATTTCCTTGTATGACCTAAAATAAAAGAAATTTTTTTAAGTTTCTATAATTTCTTTTGTGGCCTTAAAATAAATGAAAAGATCTAGTGGTCTGTTGAGATACAATGTGTTAAATGGTATACCATTTGACTATTAAGGTGAAAAAAAGTAAAGACAGTTTTTTAAGTACCTGATTAAGAATGAATAATTGGCTAAAAATATGACCCATAATATATCATTAACAGAAATGACATCACTGGGAGAGGAACCTGGTGGGGTGTAATATTCAGGTGATCCTGAGGTTTTTATTCATGGGTTCTTTTTTTTTTAACCTACTGAGTGTGAGATACTTGGCAGGTCTACCGTGTTGTATAAACCCGTTTCATTCTATGTGGATGGCACCACAAGAAGTTGTACAACATTGGCCTGATTTATGGGACATCTAGATGGAAAATATCTAGCAGGCAGATGGACTTAAGAGGCAAAAATTCAACAAAGATCTCAAGGTTAGAATTGCAAACACGGGAGTCATACACAATAATAATTGAAGTCATGGATGTGGATAACATTTCCCATAAAGAGATGGCAGAAAGAGAAGACCAAAGACAGAAGAAACTTGAGGAGGGAGTGGGGAAGAGAAAAGGGGCAAATTAAACAGATACAGCACGTATTGAGGAGTCCAGCTTCACCTGCTTGTATCAGGCCCATTCCCTGTACTACACAGCAGACACCACATAAAAACCAGTCCTTGCACCCTTGCATTATTAGTGTCAGACCTAAAATGGTCTTCTTGACCTTTTTCACATCCCATTTCCTCAGCCGTTTCCCCACCCTCCACCCTTATGCCTTGACTCCCTATTTACAGTCTCACCTTAAACCTTGGAAATGAAGTGCCCAACATCAGTTTTCCAACATTAACTTTGTGCTTCTCTCACCTGTCTCAGTTTGAACTCTCCATTTGACAATATCATCTTCTGCTAACCTAAGGGCAAATCCCATCATGATATGCTACACGTCTGAGTATAGGGCCTTGCAAATGCCCGGCCTCCAAGTTCCCCGTTGGACCCATGAGTAGAACAGATAATCTGAAACAAAATCAGCATGGGGCATCTGGGTGGCTCAGTCAGCGTCTGGCTTTGGCTCAGGTCATGATATCATGGTTCGTGGGTTTGAGCCCCGCAGTGGGTTCTGTGCTGACAGCTCAGAGCCTGGAGCCTGCTTCAGATTCTGTGTCTCCGTCTCTCTCTGCCCCTCCCCTGCTCATGCCCTGTTTCTCTGTCTCAAAAATAAAATAAACGTTTAAAAAAAGTTTTAAAACAAAACCAGCATCATGCAGGGCCTTAGAAAACAAAGGGTCTCACTCAAGGAGGATGGTCACATGGGAAGGGGCTCCCTAGTGCCCACCAAATAAAGTCCCAAATTCATAACCTGGTCTTGAGGATGATGCCCTAATCAACCTTTCCAGATTTAGCTACTCCTATTTCCTTACAAGATACCATACTTGAAACTAGACTGCTTGTTCTTTATGAGGTGTGCTTCATGTGGAAAGGTCTCTATACTTCTGCCCATGCTAGCAGTGGAGACAGTGGGTCTCCTATTAACTTTATGGCTCTGAATGCGATCAAGCTTGGCACAAATCCAATGATAAGTAAGATACTTTAGAAATAAAAGGATCTTAGGTATCAATATGGGTCAGCTCCATGATACCCACCAAGGCATTTTAAATGATCATAAAGGTCATTTTACTCAAGAAAAATTAGGGAAAAGAGAATCAAGCTGGTATTAGATCTACCCATGGGGTTAAAAAACTTCTCTATAAAACATGAGTGGTCAGTCAGGGGCGCCTGGGTGGCTCAGTTGGTTAAGCGTCCAACTTCGGCCCAGGTCATGATCTCACGGTTTGTGGGTTCAAGCCCCACAAACCGGGCTCTGTGCTGACAGCTTGCTCAGAGCCTGGAGCCTGCTTCAGATTCTGTGTTTCCTTCTCTCTCTGCCCCTCCCCCACTCACTCTCTGTCTCTGTCTCTCAAAAATAAACAAAATGTTTAAAAAAAAATTTTTTAAACGAGTGGTCAATGAATTGTATGGTATGTGAATCATATTTCACTAAGCTGTTACAAAAAAAAAAAAATAGTTACTGGTATAGAGTATCCAGGTACAAATTTCCAAAGAACTAATTAAGGAATGGGAGTAGAGAATGTTGTTTGGCTACTGTCCCTCCATGACCAGGTCTTCAAGAAAAGCAGGAGCTGGCCCACAGGCCTCTGAATTGGCGCTCAGATGCTCTCAGGATCAGATGCTCAGCTGCTTGCTGACCTTCGCAAGGGCATCACTGACAACATCAAGATCATGCTGCAGTTCATTCATGGCACTGGTTATGCTCTTGGTGTCTTTCAGGATCTGAATACTCCGTGTATATGGATTATACTTCACTCCAAACGGACGCTTAATTGTTTTGGTAAATTCTCTATTGAAGAAAACAAGTAAGAGGCAATCAATTTCTAGGAGGCAGAATGATGAAAATGGAATGAGCAATAGCAAACCTATTTCACACACTAGACAAAAGACACAGCCAATTTGACCTATTTCCCTACACTGCCTGTGCAGAGATCCCCTGGAATCCTACACAGGTAGGAAACCTAAAATTGTCATAGACACATCCACCCCTGCATTTCTAGGGAAAGATCCTGTGGATGACTGTATTAATGATGTATTCCTTTATATATCTCTTGGCTACGCTAAGGAGACCAACTACAGTAGCTTTATCAGTAGACAACGGTAGCCCTTGACCACCTAGTAACAGACTCCTCAGCTGTGATTTACATAACTACAGCTATACACACACAAACACACATACATGGAAACAGGCCAGAAACAGGCCAGGAGGCCTGCCTCCTGCACATGGACATTCTTTCTGTTTAGAATGTCATCCTCTAGCCTCTTCTCAAATGACCTAACTTCTACCCTTTATTCACACATTAAAGTTCTGCCTTCTTTATCAGGCCAACATTTGAACCTCTCATTTGGCACCCCCAAGAACAATTGTGTTCAGGACCCCTAGGAACACACCTGAAGACAGCTGTACAGGAGTAAGGGCTGAAATGCAGCTTGCAATCCAACTGGTCTACCCAGAAGGGACCCCTTTTTCTAGTCTGCAAAAGGGGGTCATATGTGATAGAGGAAGCCCTGCTAGTATTGTTATTTGGTTCTGTGCATGGCCTAACTCCTCGAGTAACAGAAAATCCCTGGAAGACAAGGAGCATGTCTTAAACCCCCATCTATCCCACAACGATCTCACAATGTGACCTCATGACACCTTCCAACAAATGTTTTGTTAATTCTGCTTCTATAGTCCTACAGTCTTGGCCCAGGCCCTTATTTTCACCTGAAGTATTACAAAAATCTCCTAAGTAGTTTCTCTGCCTCCAATGTTCTTCTTTCTTAACAATACACTTAGCTGATCAATAGTTAAATAACACATAGCTTGATTGCATCACACTCTTGTATGTTTCCATCTCCTTACCTTTTTTATGCTGTTCCTTAGCCTAAAACTTAACATACCTAAATCCTATTTATCCTCCAAGTGCTTTTTCAGATGTCATTAAGCTTTCCCTGTTCCTCCATCTGGAACAAATTGCTCCTGAATAAAATGGAGAACAAAGTTTCATCTGTATCACTGTAAGGCTTCCTATGTTGTTACGTAGCAATTTGTATATAGTTTATTTTTCCTATTAGATTATAAACTCTGATGAGGAGAAACCAATTTCTCAATGTATCTGATTCATATATGCAGTCACCAAACATCACCATAAACAACATACTCTAAATATTTGTTGTGAAAGGGAGATCTATCACAGGCAGAAGGTACCTAGTAGGCTTCTAATTATCCAGCTGCTTACTTCTGTGATTTGTTACCATTATTGGACCTATATTTTTCTTTAATCTATTTATTTATTTATTTATTTATTTATTTATTTTTATTATTATTATTTTAGAGAGAGAGGTCACGCGAGTGGGGGAGGGGGCAGAGGAAGAGAGAGAGAAAATCCCAAGTGGACTCCATGCTCAACACAGAGCCTGACATGGGGCTTGATCCCATGACCCTGGGATGATGACCTGAGCCAAAATCAAGAGTCAGATACTCAGCGGACTGAGTCACCCAGGCGCCCCTGGACTTATCTTTTGCAGAGGAAAGTTAGGCATGAGGAAGATATACTTTACCTCATCTTCTCTTTTGCATCTTCAAAGCTTTCAGATACAAAGTACACATCCTGAAAAGTTGTGATGCGACACTCCTGTTTGCAGGTAATCTTGGGATCAAAGGGCTTTACTTTGGCATGTCCAGAAAGTGAATGCTAGAAGATAGTCAGTGAATCAAAGAATATTGTCTAATTTTATGGATCACATCCTACACACAACCACCACAATCAGCACACCTCTGAATGTATTAATGCAATGGTCCCAACCTACAATTCCAAACTTATTTCCTACAGCATTATTTAACCCACAATATACTTCAGCAAAACAAACTGCTGTTCCCCATAAGTGCCCCAAGATCATCCCATAGCATTGTTCTAACGCACTTTCCATGTAAGAGCCCCCCAGTGATCTTTATTTATATATTCCTGCATTAGGACACCTACTTTCCATCCTGTACTAGTTATTCCTATACATGACTGTACCCACCATCAGGTCGTAGGCTCCTTGAGAGCAAGACAGTACCATGGACAGTGTTTCACACATACCCATTACTCAACAAACATACTTAGTTCATTCCTTTATTGGATAAATAATCAATCTCAAAGAATTCTCTAGAATTTAGGAGAAGTTATTGCTAGCACACTAAAAATGTTGAGAGAACAGCAAGACTTTGCAAGCAAAAGCTCTAAAGTACTTTTTATTTAAAAGATATATCTATAATGTGTCAACTATACTCAAAAAAGAGAAATTAAGTAATTAAAGTCCACATATAAGTAAAAAAACAATTTAAGATATCACTATAAACTTGGGAAATAGAGAAAATTGTCTCTTAAGTAACGTTTATTGCCACCCCAAGTATTTTCCATAGTAGACACTTGTTCAAATCCAAAAACTCTTTCTGGTCGTATCAATCATATTAAGTGAACATGACTATATGCAGAGGTTTACAGCTCTTACTTTAAGTTCACTGATCGAAGAAAGTAATCCAGCACCAAAGACTCGCAACTGCCCATCTTGTTTACAGAGACCAAACTCCACAGTGAAAAAGTAGCACTGCAAAAGGACATTGATATTACTTTCACATCCTGAATTAGCTCAATTTAAAACAAACTGCAACCCTTAGAGATTGACCCAAAGTGTCACGGAATTAAGTTCAAGACCCCCAGACCAGTTCACAAGTATTTCTACAATCTGGGCTTGTTCTAAGGTAGCCCCTCTCAAACTGCTGTTCCCAGGACTCTTACACACTCTTAAAAATTACTCAGGACCTGAAAGATCTTTTGTTTATGTGGGTTACAGCTTACTATATTTACGGCAGTAAAAGTTAAAACTGAAAACATTTACATGTTTACTGATTAAATTTAAAATGTAATAAACCATGTTATGGTAACATAACAATTTAATGCAAAGTGACTTATATTGTACAAAACAAAAAAGAGTCAGGAAAAAGGCATTGTTTTACATTGCTCTAAATCTTTTTTAACATCTGGATAGATATTATTTAATGTCTGGCTGGAAAGCAAGATGGATTCTCACATCTGCTACTGCATTTAACCTGTTGCAATATGTTGTTTTGGTTCAAGTATACGAAGAGAATTCAGCCTCACACAGAAAAGTAGTTGGAAGAAGGCTAAATATTTTAATAGCCTTTTCAGATAATTGTGGGTATTCTTCTTTGACACATCAGAACTCAACAAGTGGCAATTTCTTAGAGTTCAGCTGTAGTATGGAGTCTGAAACTATATCAATGAACTCTAGCCTTTCTTATATTGAAAGCCACTTTGCACTCTGAGTGGGTCTTTCACTTAAGGACCCTGTGCAAGGGTTGCAGGGACTCTAGGGGGTCCCTGACCCACAACTAGAGAAGCACTGTTCTAATCATCTAGCCTATTTCATACTATCTCCCCGACCCTAACACACGCTGCTCCAGCTTCTCGTCATTTCCCCAGACACACCAAGCACCTCCTGTCTTCCCTTGTGTGCACTCATCCAGAGATGCTTTTCCTCCCTTTCTTGGCAGGTGAAAACATGACTCATCTTCCCTGGGCTAGTCCAGATGTTCCTCTTCCATGAAACCTCCCCCAAGCAGTTCTCTCTCCTCCCAGACCATTCTGCCTGAACTTCGCTGTACAGTTCATCCCATCCTAACACAACAGCTTCCTCAAGTAGCGTATAAATTCCTTGAAGGTAGGAACCAGGCCTTCCTCATCTTTGTATTTCCAGGACGACATCTTGTACCTAGTGCTCAAAGAATATTTTTAGCATCATCTTTAGAGGGCCTATCATTTTTACCAAAGAAATATCTACAAACTATTGTTATTGAACTCTAGTGTTTCTCTACCATTTTTTTAAGGCCCATGTCTCCTTTTGATGAACCTTAAAAATCTTACATCCTCCTTTAATGTTATTGAAATAATTTAAATTACCAATTTTGATGCCTTTGATTTCCTTTTGTTGTCTGATTGCTGATGCTAGAACTTCCAACTTTATGTTAAACAACAGAGGTGAGAGTGGACATCCCTGTCCTGTTCCTGATCTCAGAGGGGAAAGCTCTCAGTTTTTCCCCATTGAGGATGATATTAGCTGTGGGCTTTTCACAACTGGCTTTTATGATATTTAAGTATGTTCCTTCATTCCCAACTTTCTCAAGGGATTTTATTAAGAAAGGATGCTGAATTTTGTCAAATGTTTTTTCTGCATCGATTACCAGGATCATATGGTTCTTATCTTTTCTTTTATTAATGTGATGTATC